TGTCGATCACATTTGATACACTACTTAGATATGAATCGCGCAGTACTGGGTATATATCTCTTATGCGTCGTCTACAATGACAGTAGCAGTAGAGACTGTAGTGGATTAAAGGAGTAGGTATTTCGGCTGTAGGATTAAGGTCTCGAGAATCAATCAGTATCGATGAACGCTATCCATTTGAATGTTAAAAAAATAGTATTGATATGTAGCAATTATGGATTTGCGGAAAATTGGAGCTTTGTTATTTGTAATTTTATGGAACCAAATATTAATACTTCAACGACGTGCTATTCAGACGAAGAAATCTACCGGCCGGAGATGGTGGGTACGGCCTATGAACAGACGCAAACATGCTCAAGGTTTTGATCATAACCTATTTCGTGAACTATTTATTAGTGATCACGAAGAATTTATTGGATATACTCGGATGTGGCCAGAGCAATTCGAATTCTTACTGAATTTGATACATCCATATCTGAAAAAAAGCAGCATGCGGAAACCTCTTTCACCAAGGTTTCGTTTCTGGTTAACCTTGACGTAAATATAAATCAACTCAACATTTTTAAAAATGGACATGCTATCATAAACAAAATAGATACTCTGGTATTAAATAATGTCTTTTTATTATGTAGGTATCTCGCTCAAGGAGAGAGCATGAGAACTAAACATCTAGAGTTTAGAGTTGGCAAATCTACTGTTTGCAAAGTAGTGCCAGAAGTTTGTCGTACTATATGGCATGTCTTGCAACCCATTGTGCTTCCTACATTAAATGCTAATGGCTGGACAAAAATAAGTAATGAATACATGCTAAGGTGGCAATTTCCAAACTGTATTGGTGCTCTGGATGGCAGACACATGGAAATCAAAAAGCCTCCATGCTCTGGATCACAGTACTACAATTACAAAAGCTTCTTCAGTATAGTGCTACTGGCACTTTGTGATGCAAATCACAAATTCACATGGGTAGATATTGGACAGTTTGGTAAGAAATTAATACCGAATTAATACATAATTAATACTTAAATAATTACTATTAAATTAATAGGAAATAAAGGTTCTAAACGGTGAAACTGAATCTTTAGTGCTAAGTAATTATTGTGTGAATTTACAAACCATATATGTAATTCATCGATTAATCTTGAACGTGAGCTTTTTGATTGGGAAGATGCGAAAATCGATGGAATTACTTGTAGTAATATTACCATTAAATTGAACAATCAATTTAATAAATTGATGCTTCATCAGCATCTTGTTAAAGAGATCTTAACATCTTCCCAATAAAAAAGCTTATTCAAAAGTTCATCAAAAAGTCCAAGATTAATCAATGAATTACATATGTGATATATAAATTAACACAATAATTATTTAGCACTAAGGATTCAGCTTGATCGTTTAGAACCTTTATTTCCTATTAATATAATCACATAACGATCTTATAGAAAGCTTTGTATTAATTAATATTAAATTAATAATTAATTAATTAATAAAAAATTAGTACTGTTTAGTAACAAATTAATATTAATGCTGCAATGGAATTGATGTAATTATAGGTTCGATCAGTGATGGTGGTGTGTGGAGAAATTCGGAATTAGCTGCAGATCTCGCCTCTGGTGATGCTGATCTTCCACTACCAATACCTCTTCCAGGTCGAGATGTTCCTTTCCCACACGTGATTGTGGCCGATGAGGCTTTCCCTCTTAACACATATCTCATGCGTCCCTATGCGAGACGCAATGGATTAACAGACCGGCAGCG